CTATTGATGGGAATGTAAATTGGTGCAGCTACTATAAAAATCAGTGTGAATATTTCTCAAAAAGCTAAAAACAACACTTTGACGTGACCCAGCTCTGCGACTCCTGGGAATACAGCTGTCAGATTCTGTGTCCCATTACAAAGATGCTTGCCCATCCACGCTTATTGGTGCGGTATTCCCTTAGCAAGGAAATGGGACCGACCTAGAGTCCATCACTGAAGGAACAAAAAAGGAAAGTGTGGTGCTTTTACTTAATGAAAATTTTTCAGCCATAAAAAGATAGAGTTGGAAAACAATAAATCAAAGAAGGCAACTGCCTCAGTAAGACCAGTACCACATGTTCTCTTTCTTAGATTCTCATATAGATAGATGGATGGATAGATAGATAGATAGATAGATAGATAGATAGATAGATAGATAGATAGATAGAGATATGTAGATACATATGCATGTGTATAGATGCATATCTACAAGGGAGAAACGAACTAGAAATCCCAGGAAACTAGAAAGGTGCCCAAGAGAGAGTATGAAGCTTACCTTTCAGCAGAAAATTACACTATAACTATGTATTGGTGAATATTATCTATGCTATATGTAAAACATGAAGTCATGAGTAATTAAATCAGTGATTGACAATTTATGAATTTCTTAAAATTCCCAATCATGTTCTGCTAGGAGTTGCTGTTCAAATTTACTTCTAGACTTATCTCCTCTTCTGATTAGTAATGAAAGTATTGCAGAATTATGTTTCATACATTTCTCTACATTGAACTATTTCCCCTGAGTTTCTTTTTTAAATTTTATTGTCTATTTATTTTATTTTGTCTTGGGAGGCATGCACATGCCATGGCTTGGGTGTGGAGGTCAGTTGGTTTTCTCTCTTCCCCAAGTGGGTGGTAGGGAATCAAACTCAAGTCACCAGACTAAGTGACAACTTTAGCAACTAAGCCATCTTGCTGGTGCAGAGTTTCACTTTTATTTACATTTTGATGCCTTCCATCTTTCACTGTTTCTTATTATGTAACACAGAACTCCCCAGTGTGTTCTCCCCCTGAGCATCTTATGTTTTAGCTGGGAGTGTCTCTCTCATGTATTGGGAGCGTGGAAAGCAAACACAGTACTGAGCCTGTGCAGGTGATCTGTCTCTGTATTTTCACAGTCCATTGAGCAGCAGCACCTTGCTGAAAAGATGAGACTGTGGTTGTCAAATTGTCCATGAGAGCCTGAGAGTTCTGTGTGCAGCCCTGAATCTCATGACAGGTGGATCCTGAGATCAATCCACTTGCTAATGTCTTGGGATTAACAGTCCCTCAAGTTATTATCAAGTGTTAAAATCAGCTCTAATCCCTTAGAACTACCTTCCTTGGAGGAAGTAAACTTAAAACAGCCACTTTGGAAATCAATGTGGATATCCTTCAAAGTATTAAAATGGATTTACCAGAATATCTGACTGTACCCACCTAAGTCACCAGGCCACAGAGATACCTGCACACTTGTGATTGTTGTTGCTTCAATAGCCAAGATACAGAAGCATCCTTGATGTGAGAAGTTCTTCTGTCTATGTATTGGTTTTATTGGTTAGTGAATAAAGAAACTGCTTTGGGCTTATAGCTGAGCTATAGGGAAATAGAGCTAGGTGAGAAAACTAAACTGACTGCTGAGAGAAAGGAGGCGGAGTCAGGGAGATGCCATGTAACTGCCAGAGGGAAAAGATGCGAGCTGCCAGCTGGATCCTTGACAGTAGACCATGAGCCTCGTGGTAAAATATAAAATAATAGAAATGGGTTGATTTAACATGTAAGAGCTTGCGAGGAATATGCTATAGTGATTGGCCAAGCAGTGATTTAATTCAGTTTCTGTGTGGTTATTTCAGGAGTCTGGGCAGCCGGGAAATGAACAAGCAGCCTCCTACAACACATCCTAGACACCCATCAGCAGATGCATGAATAGAGAAAAAAGTAGTGTGTGTGCACACATAATGGAATTATTAAACTATAAAGAAAATATAATCATGACGTTTGTAGGAAAATGGATAAGCTTAGAAATATTGTGGTACATGAAATAGGCCAGACTAAGAAATACAAGTATCACAAGACAAGAAATTAGAAGGGGGCCTAGGATAGGGAAGGAAGACAAAATATCACAAGTTTTCTCTCACGCGCAACCTAGATTTAAATATAAATATGTATATGCTTACATCCATATAAATGTAATAAATTTAAATGTATTTACATGTGTTTATAACATGAAAGCAGAAGGGAAGTATCTGTAGGAGAAAGCAGACAAGCAAGAGGGGAATGGAGGCACTGGAGACAAATATAGACAAAATATTCAAGAGCGTACCACAATGAAACCCATTATTTTATATGATCATTAATCTTTTAAAAGATACAACAGAATAGCAAACTTGACTCAGAATAAGCAAGATCTTTGTGATACATGACTTTTTCACAGGGAGGATGTTGCCCCGGGAGAAAAGTGAGTTACTCTGACTAGACCTATCTGCATGATCTGGGGTACCTGTCGAGAGTGGACCAGATGAACTTCTAACAATAGTCAAGAGGTTGTCATAAATGGTTTATAATGTGTCTGTCACCTTTGAGAGTCTCTGATTACAGTAAACAGTTTGCAAGGCTAGACAGCTCATAAAAGACACCTAAATGTCAAAACTTAATGGTGTCATTAAGTTGCCCCTCGTGCTGGAGCATAGCCATGTCAAACCTGATGCTAAGAAAGCATCCATTGTTCCCGGGACAGAAAGCCCTTTGAGTTTTAGAGAGATATCACAAACGGAGATGGATCTGAAAAGTAAGGCAGAGGGCTCAGAAATGAAGGGAAAAACCACAGTTGGAAGAAATTAGAGCCTCGGTGAAATCAAGAGAAACAGCTACGCAAAAAGGAGAGAGAATATATCAACACTCAGCACTTTAAAAAGAGGAAATGATGGAAAAGGTTTATTGTAAGATCTTGTAGATGCAATCATGAATGTGCATGTGTGTGTATGTGTGTGTGTGTAATAGATAATAATTTAATCAAAGAATATGCTATCTAAATGTGTATCTAGATAGAGCAAAATAAAACACTTTATCATTAGTAGTCATTATATTTTCATAATCCTATTAGCTAGTGTTTATTAAATCCCTGATCAGTAACAGGCACCACACCCGGTATTTTTTATACAGTATGCTGGTTTCCATCAGAAACAGATTCGGCATGATGTGGGACTCAGAAGGCTAAAAAGCATTGTAGAAAAATGTTCAGCGACCACTCTTCACACAAATGGGTTTTCAGGTTCTCTAGTCAGACATCTGACTTTGAAACTGAGTCCCATCATTTTACCAGGAACAGAAAACGTAAAATTGTAGAACCTCAGGTTTCATGCATATGGATAAATGATAGGGCCACTGTGTCGTAGGACACAGGTACACAGTACGTGTTCTGTCACAGGAAGAATGATTTTTTTTTTCTATAAAACAGGATTGTACATTTTTCAGGCTTATGGGACATCCAGTCTATATCACAGCTATTCAACTGCCCAACTATTTTATTTATGGGCACTGAAATTTGAATGTTATAAAACTGTCACACGCACCCAAAATATTCTTCTCCTTTTTATCTTTTTCAACTATTTAAAAATATAAGACCTATCTTTAGCTTGCAATCTGTGGGTTGCAGTTTGCGAACCCCTGGGGCAGCATTCAGAGAGCCTTTTCCTCTACTCCACATTAGCCACAACTGAGTCTGTTCTGGTCATCAGCCTTGAACCAAGGCTTCTTTCCCCCTCATAATTCATCGTTTTCTCACTTCAGTTACAATTTGAGAAAAAAAAAAGCCCAAAATAACTTGAGTGAGTGCCGATACAGTGTTAAATATCGTAAGAGGAAGTAGCCTGCCTCTTTGGTATTTCCATCCCTGGTAGAGGAAGTCAAGAGTAGATGTGGGTGCCTGGTGGCCAGTCTCTTGCCACCATCTCTCTCCCTCTCTACACTCAGCAAAATCTGCCTGCCTCCTCACTGCGGCCTCTCCACTTGTGAGACATATGCTCACAAACAGAAGTTGCAAAGTAAATTGTTCAGTTATTTTTGAAATAGCCTATGAAGAACATGAGAACACATACACATTTTTGCATATGTATGCATATTCATAGAAAATGCTGGCAGTACAGTGAAAATGCGAACGGTTATGATTGCGGGGCTATTCTCCTCGTTGCTTTCTTCCTGTTGCTACCAAGCCCCTTCTTAAGGGCTTTGGAGATGGCTCAGCAGGTAAAGGCAATTACTGTTAGGCCCGATGCCTGAGTTCAAGCCCTGGCACCCTATGGTGGAAGGAGAGACCTGAGACTCACATCTTGTTCTCTGACCTCTACTAACGTGTCACAGCACCAATGTGCATGTGTGCGCACATACACACAAAATTAATAAAGAAAATGTAATAATAAAGACCCTCTCAACCTGTGAAAAGCAGTTGAAGCTGGCCATGAAAGCAACTTGGGTGTCATAAATAAGTTTTTAAAGCATAAACTGATCAAAATAGGCTAGCACTCAATCTGACTGAGCTTCCTTTGAGGGATCTCATTACCACGTTTTAAAATCAGCATCATGCCGCTCTCCAAAATAAATGAATATTTCCACCCCAATGAACACTGAGAAAGGGTATCAGCTAGGCATTTATTTATTTGAGAATTTCACAAATGAATACTGCGTTTACATAAATTCCGCCACTCCCTCTTCCTCCTCATGCTCTCCCCCAACTCTTCACGCTCCCTTTAGAGTTCATGACCTCTTCTTACATAATTACTGTGTGTTGCAATAGGAGCGGCAGGGCTGCGTCCCCGGCACCCGGCCGCCCGCATGGCTAGTTTATACCCAGAAATAATTACACGGAAACTGTATTCTTTCAAACACTGCCTGGCCCGGCTAGTTCCAGCCTCTTATTGGCTAGCTCTTACATATTGTTCTAACCCATTTCTAATATTCTGTGTAGCCCACGAGCTGGCTTACCAGGGAGGATCTTAACCTGCGTCTGTCTGGAGCGGGAGCATCATGGCGACTCCTCACTCAGCTTCTTTTTCCCAGAATTCTCTTCTGTCTACTCCGCCTACCTAATTTTCTGTCCTATGAGGGCCGAGGCAGTTTCTTTATTATTACAAGACCCACCTCCATCA